TGTACACGCCAACCTACTACGTCTCTGTCAATTCAGCAAGTCTTCTCACTTGGGCAAAGCTTATCAAAAATTAAAACATTTTGGGAGACTGTAATACTCCTCACACCTCCCACAGTGCATTGTGGAGTTTTCTCCCTGAGTTGATACGTACGGCGAGCAAGTTGGTTTCATAAATGAAAATGGCCCAAGGGGAAAGCCCTACACAGAAAAGGGTGGGCTCTGGCAGCAGAGGGCGAGCATAAACGCTGCCTCTACCACTTACTAGCGGTGACCTCAGACAAATCCCTTAGTCTCGCTGTAAAAAGACTAACCCTATTTCCTAAAAATATTCGGGATGAAAATAGTTAAGACTTCTAACGTAATTGGGATGATGCCTGGCACACAGGAAGCACCACAGAATTAACTATTGCTGCTGCTGCTGCTGCTGCTGCTGCTGCTGCTGCTGCTGCTGCTGCTGCTGCTGCTGTTGTGATCTCTCCTGTGGGAAACTGAGTTTGTGTCCCCAGCCCTCGAGGACATGTTCTGAAGTGGGACCACTGGCACACGCGTACCTCCCAGGAGACAGGTATCCTTGTCATGTCCAGGGGCATTTTTAGCGGCCAGCTGAGGGAAGAGTCGGGGTTCTACTGGCATCTAATGCCAAAGGTTAGGATTTCTGCCAAATGCCTCACCGTCATGCACAAGACTGCCCACTCTGCACATAATTGTGTCATCTCTGCCGAGGTTGAGAAGGGCTGGCCTGGCAGCTCCAGGGATGCATTTCATTCAGGTTCTTACCATTCTCCTGGGCACGTAGTCAGGTCTCAGTGTGCAAGTCCCCTCTGCAGCCAAGAGCATCACACATTCTCTGATCTCCTCCCCATCTTCCGCCTCCCCAGGAATCCTTTCCAACTTTGGAGACTGCCTTTCAGTCTGAGGAATTCTCTTGGTGTCACTTGTGGGGGTGGGTTTCATGTGCATGTGTGAGTAGAGGTAAGAGGACAGCCTAAGTGTCATTCTTGGGGAGCTGTCCACCTTGATTTTTGAGATGAGATGGCTCACTAGGACCAGAGGCTCACCAATTAGGGTAGTCTGCTCACCAGTAGCCTGTCTCTACCTCCAGTCTAGGATCACAAGTACACACTCATACTCCCAGACTTCTGTGTTGGTTCTGAGGATTGCTTTCAGGTCCTCATGCCTGTCCTGCAAGCCCTTTACCAGGCGACTACCTCCCCAGCCCCACTTCTGTCTTTCGGTAGGACTTTAAGCCTATGCTCCCAAATCCCCTCTCTCACTTGAAGAGTACCACAGATATCTAGGACAGCACAGATCTTGATGTGGGACTGTCTGTTCATTGAGAACAAAGTGCTGGCCACCCCTCCCAGGCATTTGAACCGCCAATAAGCTCAACAGCATCCATTTCCAAATCCTCTTTGAGGACTGGCATCACTGCTGCCCTAAGAGCACAGACGTTAGTCAGTCCTGGAGGCCAGGGAGACTTTGCCATGCCTTGCTGTGTGCCTCTCCAGGGGGAACAGCCAGTCAGACTAACTGCTTGTCAGAAGAAAAGAATAAGACAGAAAAGGAGAAAAAACTACTGACACTGACGTATCTCAATAGCATCCAGGTACATTCGGTTACCGTCTGTAATACACATCCAATGTTTGTATCCCTAGAAAGCTGGGGGCGGCCCAGAATTCTTTTTTCTATCAGTGAATCATCAAGCCAGATGCTTTCCTGGGACCATTTCCCTGAAGCCTTCTTCCTGTGTCCTTATTCCAACAGCCAGGGTTAAAATTCTATTTTGAGGGGCTGGGGATTTAGCTCAATGGTAGAGCACTTGCCTTACAAGCACAAAGCCCTGGGTCCCATCCCAGCACTGAAAAGAAAATCTGCTTTCTATTGCTAGAGAGGTGCCTGACCCCATCCTTGTCTCCCTAAGTATGGGGTAGAGACGGAGGCAAGGGTACCAGTGCCTTACGTCACTTGTCGGCTGAAAATGCCATGTTTTCTCTTGTGCCAGCAAACCTCGGAGGCCACGCCCACTCTGAGTCCCTGCTTCTGTGACAGTTCTGTACAGCGACTACTTGTAAAGGAGAACAAGACAACACTCTCTGTTTGCCCCCCGGATTCACACCTCCCAGAAGAGGAGAATGGATGGAGTTGGCTTGCTTCCACTCACTGAGTAGAATCCACACCAAACTCTTTCAAAGCCCCATGATGCTCAGGCCTCTCCCATTCACTCACAGCTGATTCATTTCAAACCAGGATTCTAGCAAACAGCTAAAAAGAGCTTCTTTGAGCTATGTCTCGCAGAAGGCACCCAAGCCTTCAGCCTGTCTAGTAATGTCAAGGGCCCGCAAGACAGCTCTAGCCTAGGTGTCCTGAGTTCTAGATCTTATCCTTACTCTTTGAGATTTTCTTCCATCTGTAAAATACATTCCATGTACATCCCAGGGTTACTGTATAGATCAAATAAGATAACAGTTAGGAAAGTACTTTGAAAGGCTATAAGAATTGTAACAGTGTTATTCCTTGACTATAGACTAATGAGCATAATAAAATCGCAATTGCCAGCATTAGCATAATAGCAGAGATCGCCCTTCCCCTTAATGAAATCCACCAGCGATACAATGCCTTGGCTTTTCTCTGACATTCTCTTACCATCTTTCTTCTGTTGGAGCCCATGAGGCTCAGTTTTTCCCTAGGTGTGTTCTTCCAACACTTCCAGAAGGCTATTCTGTCTAAAGAAACATTGATTAGGTTCAGATTAAACATCCTCCCAGAACCTTCCAAGGCACTAGATCCCTGAACAGCCCTGGCAAGAGGGTCATGAGTATTTTAGACTAATAAGTATGGAAATAAAGCTCCTGTAAAAGTTGAGCCATTGTTACTTAGAAAACATACTCTATTTTGTGACTAAAGGCAATTGCCACTTAAAACAACACAAAACAATAAAAACAGTACTTCTCATCCCAAGTCCAGCTTGCTAGCTCCTACCTACCCAAGGGACCTTGTAACCCTGCTCTGTGGATGGGCAGGTGTGGGCCTGGCTGTTGGACTAAGGTCTTCTAGGGCCTCCACCACAGCAGGATGGGCAGAGAGCCATACTAACAGCTTGGCGTGTGGTTTTTCTCTCCAGATCCGAACATCATACCATTGACATCAAATTCATCACGTGACTTCTTATTTCCTCTCTGGCTGCTTTTCCCTCACACACCCCATGAAGATTTCCATAGTTACCAAGCTCTTTATGTAGAGCCAGAGCCCCTGCCAGCAGCCTACCCTAATTCCACGTGGCCATTCCCTCTCCCCTGGACTTGCTCCACATTTCCTGTCCCACCGCAGAGTTGGAACAACGGTCAGGTACTGGCTGAGTAAGTGATTTGCAGCTCTGTCTCCCTCTGCCCATTTAGAGGGACCCACCTGCGAATGCAAGCCACTGCAGAAACCACTCCTTTCCGCTCTCCAAAGACCTGTCCAATAATAAACCCCCTATTTTTGAGGTTCCTTTTGCATGACCTTCAACACGGACTTTCCAAGCGCTGGACTCTACCTCGTCTCCATTTAGCTATTCGAGCAGGTTTTACATCTTTTTTAAAGTGACATTCATAAAAGGGGGAGGTCACTGGAGGGCTAGGGCCATGCAAAGACTGTCGGCTAGGAGGACTCCGCCTCCCGCCTCTGAACACAGACAGACTGCTGACAACACCTGAGCCAAGGGGCCAGAGGTGACCTTGGGTTGGAAACAAAGGACTAAGCCCCTGAAGCGCGCTTCCCAGCTCCCTGCAACAAGACAGCAGCTCACCCTGGGCAGCGCAAGAGTGCAGAAAACAAAGGCTCATTTGGCATCTCTGATATCATCTTTGGAAGCGAATAAGACAAATAACTTAAAAGGGGAGGGGAGATCGATGGCACGGCTAACTTGAGACTGTCCATATGAGACACTCTGATTTATCAGCCTTCATAGGAGCTGATAAGCTCTCAAAATGAGTGTTCTGGGCTAGGCGGCTGTACCTCCTGGTTGTCTGGGCTGCTCTCCTGGTTGGGGGGGCAGGAGGGAGGTGACTGTGATGGAGGCTGAAAACACACACTTTGATTCCATTCTTCACTGGCCGTGGCTTTGCCTTATTGCAGTGGGGCTGTTAATTGTGGCATTCCAAAGCACAGTCAGAAGCTGGCAGGAATTGTATTTCAGAACAGGTTTGGGATGAAGAGGGGGAAAAAAGAAAAAAAAAAAAAAACAACTCCTGCTGAAAGTAGAGAGCTGTCATTTTTTTTATTGGTATTATTATAAAGGCTGTGTTCCTTGCATTAGCAGCCAGAGTCAGAGAAACCCGCGCAGCCACGTGGAAAGGAGAAGGGCAGTTCTCCCCAGGGCAGGGGGATGTGCGGAATCCAGCAGGCAGAGGGAAGCTATTATTGCAGATAAGAATAAGAAAATAGAGCTGTAAAGTGGGCGAGTAGCTGGGCTGAATATTGGTGCTGAACAGCGTCTGAGCACTGGCTGGCACTGCCTGAGTAAGATTAAAATCTGCAGGGAAATTTTGTTCCTTAGCACTGGCAGAAATTAGGAATAAATTCAATTGCATTCTGCACAATAGCTGGAAGCGATTGAGGTTAAGTGGCCTCGCTCTCTGATGTGTTAGTATTACTGAGCGCTCTCTGCTCACGTGACTTGGTGCGATCTGCTCTTGGAACAGGTCGCCATGGCAACTGATGATTTCTATTACAGTACATTCAAGTTCACATTCTAGGCCTGTCAGACACTTGGAAATTTCCAGTTAAAATATTTATTTATGAAAAAGGCAAAAAAAAAAAGGAAGAAAATGAAAAGAAAGGAAAAGCCACCCTCAGACTCTTGCAAGGATGAAAAAACAAGACGTCTCTGATGCAGAATGATTTATCTGTAAACAAGCAGAGAGTGTTCTATTTTCTCTTAGCTATTGCCACCAAACAAAACATTTCCCATGGGGTGGCCAACTTTGTTGGGGAGGGGGGCAAGTTAGAATCTTACCTACCGAGGTCTGGTGTGCAGGTGTGATGTCGGACAGAATGCAGAGTGACAGAAGCAGCCTGGAAAAGCTGCAGATCTGAGTCTCCATCCTACTCGCTGAGGCACATGGTTCTGATTTCAGCTGCTCACTAAGCCTCTGCACTTCATCTTAGTCAATGCTCAGCAGAAAAAGAGCCGCCATCACCTCTCTGCCATAAGTGTGGGGTAGAGGGATCCCTTGTTGTGGGTTAATCCTGGGAGAGTCCCCAGGGAGTATCAAAGATGACCCCAATAGAGGAGGAGGCATCCCGGGATATAACATGGAAGACTGTTCTCTCGTGGAAGCCATAACCCTGTTCCATGATGGTGCTCCATACGGCTTGCCATATACTCCTGCGGGACACTCCCAAGGAGACCCCAGGGACAGCCCCCACACATCCCCACCCTTTATACTAGTCTAGGAAGGCTTATACAGGTCCACTGACTTCCCCCTGGAGAAAGGCAAGCCAAGGGTTAAACTGAACCTTTCCTGGGAAAGAAGTCATTATTTCCTGGCCATGCGCTGTGCAGGGGATGCTTGCTAACAAGGCCTCCTTGCTTTGTATATGTTTTCCCCTTAGTCGAGCATATTAAATATGCTAATAAAAGATTCCTCAAAGCTTTCTCTATCAGAAGCTTCCAGGTGGCCGCAGTGACCCTAGGTGCCCAATTACCTGGTGAGGTCACCCCATGACTCACAGATGGTTCTCCCTCACCATTCAAATCTCCACTCTCTCTTTTTGCACGTGGCTTCTGATGAGGCTGATTACAATCGTATGCTGCTGCAGAGCCAGAACCCACTTTGTATAGCAGGACAATGTCTCCTGCACTTGCTTATAAGAATCACAGTCTGCTAGTGTAAAATATAGATTGCTACTGTGCCTCAGACCCACTGAGTCAGAATCTCCAGGGGAGAAACCAGAAAACCTGCATTCTTAAAATGACCAAATTTAACAAGTGCTGCACTTATATCATTGAGAGGGCTAGTAGTATTAAGGCTGTCTGTGGTTATATGGGGGGAGGGTGGGCACATACCCACTCACGTAAGTGACTAAGTATGCCAAAGAACAATGGCAGGCATCTTCTTCAATTGTTCTCCACATTATTATTTTTTTTTTTAGATAGAATCTCTCAGTGGAACTGGAGCTGACCTATTTGGCTCGACTAACTGGCTGGTAGGCCCCAAGGATCATCCTGTCTAGCTCCACCTCTCTGCTGTTGGACTTACAGACATACACCACCATGCTGGACTTTTTAGACATACATCACCACGCCTGATTTTTTATGTGGATGCTGGGGACCCAAACATGGGTTTTCACGCTTGCATAGCAAGTTCTTTCCTGGCTGAGCCATCTTCCCAACCTGAGGCTTTCTTTAAAAAGGTATTACACTGACATCCTAATGTCTCCCTATAAAACACTGAGCCTGAAGTCTTCTGGGAAATTCCTAAGCATTGCTCATGTAGAGTGGGGCAAAACAGACTAGAACACTATTTTTAAAAATGTAAAGAGTGGGCTGATAGCTATAGTGATCCCTTAATGAAAACATGAATGAATTTTGCCCTGCTAATATGAATGCATTACTATGCCACCAAATGGTTATCTCCTGCATGAGAAAATAAATTCTTCTTCAAGCACAGATTCATCAATGTGTCAATGCAGCTGCCCTAAGCAGGGAGTGTGCGTGGATGGCTATCAATGATGGGCGTGAGGTGAAGTGCAAGGTTAAAGTTTTAGTCCCACTCAGCCAGACAGGTGTTACATCTACAGATTGCTGACTGGAAGTGAAGAGTGGCAGCTTCAAAGATGGCAGCATTGAAGCCGGAAGCCTGAACAAGGACCTGCTTGTTCTGTATTCAGCAGAGAAGATGAAGAGCAGAGCATAGGAACAGCCCAGCTAGCCTGGGCTCCATCTCCACGTTCTCCAACACAAGTGAGTGATGCTTGAATATGCTTCTTCTTGAGAGGCTCTACATAAAGCCTGTGCTGTCGTTACCCCTCGTGTTGATCTTTCTCCCGTATCTAGAAAGAAAAGGTAGAGCTATCGTGGAACTTTCAGTGTTCTGTCCATCCAGAAGTGTGAGATGAATGATAAACACTTAGAGAATCAATTCCTGAGTCAATCCAAGGATTCCTCAAAATGAGGATAGATAGATAGATAGATAGATAGATAGATAGATAGATAGATAGATAATCTCTCCCAGGGGTTCCCAAAAGTCTCTTCTCCCTTTCTCTCTCCCCTTCCTCCCTCACTCCCTCTCTCCCCCTCTCTTTCTCTCTTACACACACACACACACACACACACACACACACACACACACACACACACTTCTGTGAGCTCTAGGAAAGAGAGAGTAAGAGATTGACCAAATATTTCTTTCTAGAGTCCTGAATCCCAAATATAGAGATGAATGGGATGCTGGAATGGAATACAGACCCGCGGTCCATACCCAGCCGAAGAGAGGTAGAACCCCAAGCCCCGCCGGCTCTGACCAAGCCTAGCCCCAGCTGCTGCCTTTGCGTGGGGCAGCAGCATCACCTAGTGATGCTGTGGTTTAAGTACAAGCTCTTTTCCTGGGAACTGTCCAATTTGATCAAACCGTAGTAAGATGAATTAGCCACATTAACAAATGAGGGTAATGGTAAACATAATCCCAAACTGGAGGTGACCCCTAATTCCATTTTTATTTAGCCTGGAGTATATCCAGTGCCTATGCAGCATTTGAGTTCTCCATAAAGTAATATGAAAGAGCTCGATGCCCAGCTGGTGCCAGGCAGGACAGATGGGGAGGTGAAAGAGGGTTAGCAAGGTTAAAAGGAGACTCAACTCTGTCAGCTCAGGTGCTTCAAGAAGTGAGATGCTGAAACGACATCTGGAGTGGGAGAGACTTAGCAAGATATAAAGCTCGGAAGGACGGGGCAGCAGGGAGAGCCTTCATTCTGCTATGCGGGTCCAGCACCTGTGAAAGAAGGGGCACCTTCAACTGAAGAGCCGTGCAACAGCAAAACGGAGTGCTTCACTCTCCCACAGAGGGGCCCTGCACCGGTAGAAGTGGGCCCTGGTACCACCACTGTGTGGAACCATCTTCCAATCACAGCTCTGAAGACACCGCAGCTAACGCAGCTTTGTGGCCGGAGCTCCCATGACACCTGGAGAGCACACGCCTCCACGGCTGCTGCAGATTGAAGGCAGCTGTCCTAAGGTCCCCAATGTCTGCACACTATCAAAAGGAACGCCATGGGTTGATGCATCTAAACTGATGAGCAGAAAACCTAACACATGTCCCCTCAGTCGCTAACTAGTGTCCGTGAGGAAGAGGAACTCAACTCATGAACAGCATTCGCTGGGATCTCATACTTAAGACAGCAGGCTTTCTCATACTTAGACAGCAGGCTGTGTGCCTTTCACAGCCCGTTCCCAGTCCAGAAAACCAGGTTTCATGTAAACAACCTGGAACATTACTTCCCTTTGATGGAGGATACATCTGGGTGTAAGAATGGCTTCATCCTGCCCCAGGCATGCGCAGTGACCTCACCTGGCTCCCGATTCCCTCCTGCCCGGAAATGGTCTTTGATGCTGTTGACCACGAGATGCGCTGCTCAGGTGAATGCCCTGCTCTCTGTATTGAAAACATTAAGGAACTTGCTCCAATTCTGGGGTTTTCAGAAATCCAATTTGGGCGAATTAAGAAACCCAGAGAGCATGCCAGGCAAGGGCACAAAGTTTTCAAGTCACAGTTAAGCCACAAAGCCCAAGATGCCTTGAATGAAAAATGCAAGGAGCCGTTTGACAAAGAGCAGTGGAAAGATCTGAAGGCAGAAGAAATAAAGGACGAGGGAGAGAGGGGAAGAGAGGGGAATGAATGTGGCTTTCCTGAGGCTCATCAAGGAAGGGAAGATAAGAGCGGAAGAGAAAGCCGAGTGAGTTAAGGCTGCCAACCCGGTTAGAGGCAAGGCCTGGGCTGGGGGTGGGGAGGACGCACGGGCGACCAAGTAGCTGGACTAATAAATGAGAGGGGGACAGAAGTTAATGGTGACTCTGAGTGGCAGAGAGTCTGTACTGCTCTTTTAAATTAGTCCTTAACAAGAAAAATAAAGAAAGGGAGCATAGATAATTAGGAAGTAATGAAGACCTTTAAATATAGATGTTGAAATAAACCAGGTAAGGGAATACTTGAAAACACGGGACGATATGTAAAACAGCAGGGCCAGATAATGCACATTCCCCAGCCTTGAGGGAATCGGTTAATGAACTTGCAGAACTACTGGCCATTATTTTCAAAGGCTCCAAGAGACCACGGACTATAAAATGAAAATATTTGGCCAGCTTTTTACCAAATAAAAAAGGAGGCCTTGGTAATTACTATACCTGACATTATATGCTCTCCCCCACTTGGGGATATTAGAATGACACATGGAATTAAAAATACTGAGCCACCTGGTAGCGTGGAGGTGGCAGTTAGCTGGTGATGGTGAGGTGCACCATGATGTTGAGGGATATGATCGGGGTAACATGGATGTTTGGCTTTCCATTCAACAGAAGGCATTGTGGGGTTGTATAATTATTTTTCTGTTTTTTTCTTTTTTTTTTTTTTTAGGCTAATGTAAAATCAGTTCCCATCCCCAGAGAGCATAACAAAGGGTAAAAAAAAAATCTTCATAATAGCTATCAATCTATGATTTTTTTTCCAAAGATAGAGGGATAATGGAATATAGGCAATGTCAAAACTCTTCAAGCTCTCACTCTCTTTGTAACAACAGCACTCTCATTAGCACATATTAATTATGCAAAATAACGGGTTTCATTGTGACATTTTCATACACACGTGTGATACACTTTTATCTTATTCACTTGCTCACTACCCTCTCTTGTCGTCCCCCATTAGTCCTTGCCCTCTTCCCAAATTGTTCCCCCTTCTACTTTTGTGTCTTGTTAAAAAATCTAGACCCTGCATGTGTAAGGAAAGGCTCAATATTTATCTTTCTAAGTATGGTTTATTTCAGTTAACATGATGATCTCACGCCTCCTGTTTTCCTGAAAATATGATTTCATTCTCCTTTACCAGTGAATAATAACCTTTGTTCTATAGACCCATTGTCTTGATCAGTTCACCCACTGATGGTTGACCCATCACTTGACTGTTACGAATCGTACCATGGGAAAGGTATTGCTGACTGATTTGTTTGTATAAATACCCAGAAGTGGTATATCCAAGCTT